CCACTCTGAAGGCTGAATAAAAAAAAGATTGTTTACAGACCCCCGAAATGCCGGCTTCGTGTGGATGAGAGGCTGGTTTGGTGAAAAATTTGTGCGTTTAGGCCAGGGTTCTTCTTCGTGTGGACGGGGCCTGAGACGGAGGGCAGGCAGGCAGATTCCAGACAGTGATTATTTTCTCCAGGATGAACGATTTCCAGATAAGTCAGGATCTGTGAGGCAGAAGAACACAGGATCAGATTTGTTCACAAAAATCAGGGTTTCAGATCAGAGAAGCTGGCTCAGGTTTTGCTGTACCAATACTGGCAAACACTCTGGCAGGGAAGTGTCAGGCTCCTCCTCCTTAAGTAGGGCCTCCTGATGAGCAGATGGGAAACAGGTGTCGCAGTCAGCTCATGCCCTCAGGAGAGATCTTGTGCGCCCTCTGGTGGAGAAAGTAGACAAGCCTCTAGATCCCAACAGGAGCTGGCTTGGAGCTCGTCTGCCTGGCTGTGTGTTTCCTGGATGGGGCCGCCTTTTACAGTGTCCTTTTGTATCTCTGCTTCTGTCTCCTTGAACCCCAGTCGGCCTCACCAGATGGCTGCTCACACTGAGCCTGGGTCTTCTGGAGGTTTCTTCCTGTTAAAAGGGAGTTTTTCCTCTCCACTGTTGTCGCAAGCATGGTTAGTGTGAGGGATTGCCTTCGAGTCAATGAGTTGATGCAATCAACTGGTTTTCCTTAGATAGGAAACTTTGAATCAGTTTGACTGGATGATCTGGTGAATTGTAAAGTACCTTGAGATGACATGTTGTGAATTGGCACTATATAAATAAACTAAAATGAATTGAATTGGAATTACAATAAATTTAGTCTAAGTACATTCTGATGACATTAAAAGGTGTGTCATCATACATGTCAGTGTTTTTTCTGATAATGCTATGACAAAGCTGGAAAGCTATAGATTTATTTCCCACTCCAGAAGAACAAATAAAAATACACGTGCCACAAAATTGACGCACAACAAACATTAATTTCACAACCCCCAAACCCCAATACACCCCCCCCGCAAAAAAAACAACAACAATGAAATGTCTAATTTGTGACATTTTCTGATTCTAATAAGTCGTCACAGGGGAAAGTTTAAAAAACATTTAGATTTAAAAATCAATGAATACAGTTCAAACAGACAAGATTTCTGTGATATTATTTTATATATTCAATATATATTATAATATATATTATAGTACATATTATAATTTATAATATTTTAATCTCTATCCAAAACTATCTACTAATGTCCAAAGGCTTATCAGTGATTAGTTACAGCAGGGATTCCTAACTGGGGGTAGGGGTGCCCCTTATGGTCCGCGAGTGCATTGCAAGGGGTACATGAAAATATTTTACTTCTTAGGTAATAAAATATGGGTGGAATCTGTTTTGCTTTGGAAAAATTAAACAACCTTTTTGCTTGTTAAGCTGTAAGTACATTCTGTTAGTTAAAGCTATATCAATTGTAAATTGAAACATGTGGGCCTGACCTTAGAGCAGTCATTTTTAAATTCAGTTCCCAAGGTCTTTTTTCATGCATGTGTAGCTGTCTGTCTGCTTCCTTAAACCTATCTTAAATATATGGGTTATTTACAGACATTTACTTACTTTATCTGTTTATTTCTAATTCTGTGTTTTGCCATGCCACTTTGCAGCACTCATTTCATGACTTTTTTCTCTCTGGATCTCTTATTTCATACAAAAAAAACCCCATAGTTGTTGTTTTTTACATATTGATCAAATGGGCTGACATCCAACTTTGAAGCAATAGGTGGTTTGCTATCTACTGAATTGGTGAAGTGGTGTATGATTTTAGATGCGTCTCCACTTTCAAACATGAATCAAATGGCTAAATTACCTCTCGCCAATATGCAGTCACATTCTCCAGAAACCTGCTATTGACCTAAATGTTTTGACTAAGGTGTATTGAAGTAAAGATATGTTTAAAATGTGCACAACATCACCAGATCTGCAATTAAAAAACCCTGGTCTACCCTGTACTACTTTAAACTAGCAAGAAAAAATTTTGTTTCAAAGTTTTTTGTCGTACCAGTCATTGTAAGAAGAAAAGTTTTTTGCATATTTACCAATTCTAAGTACCTTAAAAATTGTATTATTTAACATAAGTATGATTGCTAAGCATTTTATGTTTAGCATGGATATAGAATGTACATATATACATTTTTCTGATGCACTTTTTTTTAATGAGTATTATTGTGTATTTTACACTTTTAGATCTTATGTTATCAGTTCACTGTGAACAACTGATAAATATCTAAAAATTGTTCACTAAATGCATGTGTTACAGCATCTTATATTGTAGTGCGGTCGTATTATACACATACTGCAATTTGAATAGTATATAAATCCCTCTATGATCATCACTGTTGAGCATCCATAATATACAGAAATACAATAAAGGACTGGATTTGAAGAAGACTTTATTTGCTTGGACAGTGTATTTATCCCGTCAAGTATCCAAATATTCATTGTCTTCCATTTATCTAATCTGAGAACACTTTCAGGAGGGAAAAGCAGGTATACATTTACTCTCCAGCTCCTTCTGGATGATTGTGAAAACTCACACTATCATTTCAACAACCTGTTTTCTAGATTATGTCTTCTGAGCCTCGTTATTAATGTTTGTTGCTGCTCTTATTGCTGATTTCATTGCGGTTTCTATCCAGGCATGAGGGAAAGCTGTGTGTTCTCCAGCAAAATGGATCTTGCCTTCATTCCTGAAGAGCTCTTTTGCATATTCTACATTTTGGTTGGGTGCAAATAGAGCATATGCACCTTTACTATAAGGATCCAAACTCCACTTCTTAACCACCACACCGGTACACAAAGACTTAACATGTTCCCCATGAATCAGTACCAAATCTTTCAGAACCAGCTCTTTCAGCTCTTCGTCACTTGCACCCAAGAGGAGGAGAGAATCTTCAGACCAGGTGTAGGAAGCCAGGAGAACTCCGATAGTCTCATTTTCAGCAAAACTGTGGCTGGGATAGTAGATGAAACGAGAAGGCCTATCTGTGACGCTTTTTCCCCCTTTGATGCCATCTCTTTCCCAAAATCTTTCACTGAAGGTGAGAACAACTTTAACAGCATTGTCATAATGAACTGACCTAAGAGCTTCCATCTTTTGGGTGGAAAGATGTGGATCAAAGTCCATGTAAAGAGCTGCTTTAGTTGTGGTCGTAACCAGGACAACATCCCCTTTCATGTCACTAAGAGAGGACTGCTCATCTTTCTTATAGGAGACCAACACACCTTCATCTGACTGCTTGATCCTTTTAACTTCGGAGTTCAGTAAAATTGGGACATTTAGAACTTTAAGGAAAGCTCTTGGGAGAATATCTGTCCCACCTTTAACTTCATAGTACCTGAAATGCAAAAAGAAAGAAACAATGCTCATTCTCATATGCCATAAAATAGTGTATTTCTTTCAACAACGGGTCAAGCATTTATAAGAAAACAAATCACTTCTCAATGGAAAACCTCTCTAAGTTTATGAAGAAGCCAGTTTTATTTGTGAGGGTGACAGTGGCGTTTGATGTAGGAGTTTGCCCTGAAATTGAAGGATTGACGGTTCAAGCCCTGACTTGTGTCCTTGGGCAAGACACTTCACCTGCATTGTCTACTGATGGTGGTCAGAGGGCCCGGTGGCGCCAGTGTATGGCAGCCCCGCTTCTGTCAGTGAGCCCCAGGGCAGCTGTGGCTATAATGTAGCTTGCCACCCTCAGTGTGTGCATGTGTGCGTGAATGGGTGAATGACTCCTGACTTGAAAAAAGGCGCTATATAAGCACATGCCATTTACCATTATTTGAACAATAACAGGATTTCACATTGTTTGATGGAGATGAACCCACTAAAACTAGGGAAAACAGAAAAACGGAAGAAATATTTGCAAGCTAGTCATGTTGCTGAAATATCCTTGGATGGTAAATGTAAAATAGCCTGTACTTGAACAACGCTCTTTACACTACATTCAGTCCTTCACCCATTCATGCACACACTAATGTTGGTAAGCTACATTGTAGCCACAGCTGCCTGGATTAACCTCCTCTGCCTAATATACACACCAGCCAGCCAGCTAGCCAATGTTGCCCACTTATATGAGGTCAGGCTTAGGGGCAGCAAATCTAGGAGGAATGAGACAAAATGTCAGTAATATGCACTTTTGGAATTTGGCCAGAGGAGACCTGGGGAGCAGTTGATGTTAAAAATGTTATGCTTCAGAGGTTGACTGCATTCGACCAACATATAAAGGTGGACAAGTACTAGAAGGAATGAAGGACCAACTATGCCAGTGTTAATTGTGCAAATACACAGTTTTCATACTAACACATACTAACATGGCAGAAAGTGGGCAACTAGCCGGCCTTTGACCTCTCTCAAACCATCACCAGCCCACCAACACTTTTCTTGAGTCATGACAAGGATAAAATCCTTAAGCAACATCCATGATCCTTTTCAGCTTTCCTAAATTAACAGGCTGCTCTTGGGGAAATAAAAGAAAAAAAAAGACCTCTAGCTATACTGTAGAACATAATAACTTGTCTTCTTTTCACAAACGTTGAAATATTTGTAATATCTTCAGGACACCCATAGTATATTTTCTGTGGAAATCAACACTAGCTAAGTCATGAACTTGTGGACAATAAGGATTATCCCTGGCCTCCATCTGTGAAACTATTTTTTTCTGTCTTTTGCGACGTGTCATTGGGCCAGTTTGTTCACCGAACATTTAACTTAGCAGATTTCAGTTAGACTTCTCAGAAGTTACACTGACCTGAGGCCCTAGTTCAAAGATAATTTCTTATAAATTGATGTATAGTGTAGCTGGCAAGTTTTACCTGATGTCGTCACTGATGACACTTTGCTCATAGACCATCTCGCTCAGTGCAAGGTGCATTAGGCTATCCTGGTTAAGAAGGTCTCCGATCATCCTTATTGCTTCTTTACTCAAGTGACCAAATTCTTTTAAGTATCCCTAATGAAAACAAAGGGTTTCATATTACTGAAGCCAAAAATGACTCAGCAAGAAAGTTAAAGTTTTGTCATAAATTTGTGTGAACTTAAACATAACTTACCCTTACAGTAAATCTGTCATATTTTTTCAAAGCAGCCTGGCACCCATGTTCCACCACTTCAATTTCTATCTGTAAAAAAGTTATTTTTCATTTAATAATTTTGAAAAAACTTAATTTTACATAGGAAAGATATACTGTGAAAACTGAGTAAAGGCAATACATTTGTGATCATTTGGTGATACAGACACCAGTGTAAAATGATTTGGTTCTGGACTGTGGTTCCCTGGGTGGAGTAGTCATCTTGCAATTGGAAAATGTATTAAAGTTTTTTCCTGGTTCCTTCCTGTTATCTTTCAAAGGCTTTTAACTCAAGGGCATGATGACAAAGCTGTGCGACGCTGGAGAAAGCACAACAAGGAAGATGGCAACAACTATTCAACAGTTCTCATTTGACTCAGCTTTGGAATCAGTTTCAGAAGGATTAGACTTGGGGTTTTCATTGAAATGTGAGCAGGAAGAGGATCTACGCTCATTCTTCTTTAAGAAGGACGTATTCGCCGTTTCACCGTCAGCCGTTTCACAGGCTGTTTGTTTACTCTCCCCCACCGGATTTCTGTTGAGCTTACTTCGTCACAGTCAGTTGCCCTCATTGGTCAGAGCGTTGGCTAATAAGCACAGACATGGTTTGAAAAACAACGTGTTGTTCTAATCAGCAATCTTACGATGTTTCATTCATTGGGGCCAGACTATATTACACATTTAATCTCACATTTTGTCTGGTTTAATACAGTACTGTTTATTCACACTATAAATACTGTGCACCTGGAGAATAAATAAATATGCAGCTATGGACATTTTTAGAGTGATGGACATTTGAAAATAGCAGCAACATCAGAGATGTGCAAAATGACAGCAGCATGTTATTTAACTGGTAGAAGGTAGAAACTGCAAATTCAATTTATTTTAACATTTTATTCTTATTTATTTCAAGATGCATTCCTCTACTCATACTTGAATCACTGACCAGCGCTGCCACATAGGTATAACCCCACCGCCTCATTTGAATATTAGAAAAATGGAATAAAAGTAGTAATGGGGTTGGAAATACCTGTCTTAAAGCTCCCTGTAAAAGTTCATCTGCTGATTTGTTTTTCTCATTCTCCAACAGGTTGTACTTCAAAATGTTTGGGTTCTTTTTCACTTCATAGTTCTTGTATTTCTTTTGTTCATTGACCAGGTAAAAGGTTTCATCGTCATCCATTATAAATGTATTGAGTGAGACACCCAACTTTTCCGCAAAGCGGAGGAGAATTCTGTTAAAATATGTAAAGATAAATTCACATTTAAAGACAAGAAAGAGGAAAATCTTAACTGTATTGGTAAACATGGTTGCATTTGATGTTTAGAAGTACTTTACTTACTTGTGAGAACTTGGGATTCTCATGGCCCCTAGTTCCACATACCAGCCCTCTTTGTGATTTCTGTAGGTCTCCACCCGGCCTCCAACCCGACCGCTTGCCTCCAATATGGTCACCTTGTTTAGACATAACATGTTACATGTTACTGTCTTTTCATAAATTGTGTCCGCTTTGGTGATCTGATCCCAGAAACCTCACAGACTATATTTTGTCAACAACAAAATAAACTATAAATAATATAGGAAATATTTACTCACATTGTGTCCTGCATCTTCGAGTAGCTTTGCTGCAGTCAATCCAGCCATGCCAGCTCCAACAATGATTACATGAAGAGGTGTATTAGTTTTGGGGAGGCCATTTTCAAGAGTTTCTAACAGTTGGTTATAGTCATCATCATTTAAGCATTCTGCCAAAAGCTCCCTTGGAACTAAAGGACGAGCACCTTCAAACACAGAGAAAAATAAAACAGAGATAATGACTGATCACAAATGTATTTTAGGTTAATAAAAGTTGATAAATCATTTTACAGTGCAATTAAGTATTAGCCCCAATGAAGCGAATTTTATCGCTTTGCCTGTTCAGTCACACTGTTTCATATCAGCAGATTTGAAAGGCAGAAAAGTTATAGAGTAAACTCAGAAAGAGCATTTTAATTTTTGGGGTTTAAAGTTGGACCAGACACATATCTTTATTTTGGATTCTACATGTACTGTATGTCTGCACCTAAAACAACATTAGGAGATGCTGGAGGTAAACCGGAGCCATCATCCTGGGTCAAGTGAAGAGTCTGCACCTGAAAGGTTAATTAAAGAAAATATCAATATTCATTCTTTGCTTGTCAGGTTAATTATGGTTACTTATTGCTTCAAACAGACCAGTCATTAACATCCAGAATAGCATCTCACTTAAGAATGTAAGAATTTCAGTAAACTAAATGAAGTGAAATGAAACTTACATGTAATAAAGCTGCAGATAGCAGACAAATCAGCATGAGGAGCTTCGTCATCTTTGCTTCTATCCCTCTGCAGATTTCTTTCCAAGTGATTTTCTAGACTGGGGCCAATTGTTTTTAAAGCCATCGGCTTCACCTTAAAAAAAAACCCAACGGCTCCAAGGATAAACGAACTATGAACCCAAACAAACCTAGTTTGTCACTGCAGAAATTACTTGGACTCATGACAAGTTTGTCCAAGTAAAAAGAAATCGAACTGATAAACAAGTAAACTATGAGTCAATGTAAGCAATGACAAATGTATGCGAGGTTGTGCAAAAGAAAATAAAAGCTGTAATGTGCAAAGGTCTTAGCCTTGAAATAGGCCTTCTATTTGTATGTTGTCCTGATTTGTACTTTACTCAACTGAAAATGGGATATTTCGCATGTAAAAAACACTAAACAGTACCTTTGCATTTCTCTGTCTCAAACATGTATTTCAGTAACTGTAGGTGCAGTGTTGAAAAGCCTCGACAACTCACATGTAATCATGTCATCCGGTATTTCACTTTTACCTGAGGTGAAAAGATTAATCATTTCTTTAATTTGCAAAGTGAATCATAAAATAAAACATTAAAGAAAAAGGGCAAGTATCATGGTATTAAGGTGTTTGGCCCACATGGAGACACAGACGGGGGAAAACATAGCAGTTTAAGATGTTTATTAGTTTACAGAAAATAAATGTCAAATCAGAACAGTGGCCGCAGACGAGGTTCGGAATGTCAGTGTTTGGAGTTCTGCGGGTGGAAAAAGGAAACTGATTAAGACTAAGAGAAGCAAAATAAACCTGTGCTGTTGCTGCTCTGCTTATCGCCAGGTATGGATGATCTATCCGGGAAGGGATAGGTCATCCGTACCTGGAGGAATGGGTTCTGTAACTGACAGCTTTCTGATGGGAGGAGGTGGCTGAGCGACAGGCGGGACTTTGGCGGGGGTCCGAGCAGCATCGCAGCGGAGGCAGCTGACTCGACTTGTCTGACTCGGTAGTACCGAGGGGACTGGAGGGGGAACGCCAGAGCAGAATCTGAGCAGCAGAGATTCAGTGACCAGTCTTCAGAGTGTGGAGACAGGCGGGTGAGCAATCCAGGGCTTGACGAACTGAGGGAGACAGAAAACTTGTAGAATCAGGAACCCAAAAAGTCAGATTTCAGATATCTGTCGACAGGACGGAGGCCTTGGCATACCACAACGGTTTAACACTCTGGCGTCCTTCAGCTGACTGAATGCTCCATTTAAGCACCAGTAGAGCAGCCCCAATGAGCCACAGGTGCGGGGCCACGCCCAGCTGTTGGCAACAACCACCTGTTCAAGAGAGTAAGCCGAGCGTTCTCGTCAAGTCCGTTCTTGGCGAGAACGCAGGAAGATCGGACTTGACGAGAATGCGAGCACGCAAGCACGTATGAGGTTACCCTCGGAGGTCTGCTGGTCACTCTGGTCCGCTCAACGTCTGACTTTTTTTTTTTATTTCGCACTAACTCTGTAAACAGACCACAC